AGGAAAACCCTAAGTTCCGACCAGATTCCGAAAAAAGCACTGAAAAACCTCTCCGAAGAGGCCATCGTCGCCTTGACAGGTACCTATTATTAACGCAATGTTCAAATTTAATTTCTTTCCAGGTAGATGGAAACACGCCAACGTAATCTTCATTCCGAAATCCGGAAAAAATCGGTCTTTCCCCCAAAATCATTGTCCCATCAGTCAGTCTTCTTTCTTCGATGAGGAAGATCGCTGAAAGGGTAATTCGAAAACGGCTTGCCGAAATCGTGAACGATCTAGGCATCCTTCCCGATGAGCTTACGCTCAGGAAGTAAAAAAATTGGTGACGGGTCTTAATTAGTATATCCCATGGAGGTAGAATGAGACGAGGGAAGATAGTATGAAAAAGCACCTGGTACCGCGCTTTCGACTGGGGTCATAAATGGCTTTTCTAGTTCCTGCGAGAAACTGGTTGTTCCAGTGCTCTCCTTCAAAGCGCTTGTCGAGGGGTTGGAGATACGATACAAAAAAACTAACATGTAGCAAGTTAATAGCACTGATTAAATACAAATTTAGCAGATCTCCTGGATGATATCCCCTTAACGGAGTCTTGGCTCATTACGCTTGCGAAGTGCAGTGATGGTTCCACAAATATCTAAAAAAAAACTCACAAAGTAACAACTACTTCCTAAAGGCTTTCCGGACTGTTTGTAGAAGTTTTACGGTTGTATGTAAATATCAGAAAACTTCAAGTTATTATCTTCGTTAGGTATTGTTTCCACAAAGTCGTTTAAGTCACTATTTTCTGAATTAAATTCCGTTCTGGTTAGCTTAAGTACCACAATGTACCTACCTTACTACCCTTCTTCTGGTAAATTTTACAATAATTTATCATTAGACATATTTTTTTTCCAATTTCCTATAATATCCTATAATAAGTACTCAAACTGCCCTCGTTCTCCTTCTTCACACAGCCCAAACTGTGTTCAAAATTTCTACGTAGTCTAATTAAAATCTCGGGTGTTGTATGAATATCTACACGGCACCATGATCCTTTCCGGGCAAATGATCTTCAGTTTGAATTGGAGGGGCCGAAATAGCATGGATGAAATCGGTTTGCCCTCAGGATGTTAAAAGCCGAACTCTGACTAATCCGCATTTATTTTATGATCTGCTCTTAACTCAAGTGAGGTTATCTTCTGTAATTTCAACCAGGGCAGCTTCATCTTCTTGCGTTGGACGTCTAACTTTAGTTTTCTTAAATTGATCAAATTTTCTTAATTTGTTTTTCGAATCTTCTGAATGCTTTTGTGATAACCCAAATATCTCACCTTAAACTGACATGTCAAAAAAATTGAAAGTCCGCGAAAAATTTAAAAATCCAAAATTTGGCCGTGGCTGTGATCGTTGACAAAATGGAACCCTACGTTGTGTTTTTGAAAAATGGCGCCATGCGTTCAGATGCAAATGGTGGACCCTAAGCTTGGAAAAATACCGCTAAATAAAACACAAAAAAAAGCTGCAACTAAGTTGCGCAGGTTGAAGATCTTCTTAGTGCTCAGCTCCAAAAAAAAACTTTTTGAACTTTGGATGAAATTTAAATGAAATCAAATTAAACGTTCTAAATCAATGCAAATATTTGAATATCACAAATTTAATAAAAACAAATAAAAAACGGAATTAAAGTAACTGGATGCAAATACACAAATTATTACAGGCGTGTGACGGCAAATTTAAAATTATGGCAGTCAACAAAAGAACAAAATTAAAATAAACAAACTATGCAGCGGCAACGGCATCAGAGTGCTGTAAGAGTGTGGCGGTCGACTATGTCAATTTCATTCTAGAGCACAACAGAAATATACCGGGGGGACGTTTAGCGCGAGCGGATTTTAGGGCTCCCGGTCGGGGCTGTTCTCCTACCCACGATGGTGATTCTATCGCAAGCACTGCCGCAAAGCAATTCTGTATTACGGACAAGCCGTACGTGCAAGCCGTTACGGTCACAAACTCGCAGTTGGATCCCGGCTATAGGGTAGAAGCCGACAGCGTTACGTCATCTCGACCCCCCCTGAATTCTATTCTAACCTGTTTTATTTATGCAGATGGCAAGATAAATCCCGCCAGCTCGACTAGGAAGCGCGCACTCCGCTTCCACTACGTGTTTTTATGTTATTTAACCTCAATTCCATTTATATGTTCAATCCTTATAACTCTGATATTAAACTACGGCTGAACAAGTGTCAAAGTTTCAAAAGAGCAATAAACAACATTTAAATTCGCCATACAATCTTGTGAAATTTTAAACCACAAATAATTCTTATGTGAGATTAAAATTGGACATCATTGGATAATTTATACGATGGAAACATTCATCAACAAAAACTAGCAAAGATTTATAAAGACAAAAAGATGTGGTGTGAAGTAAAATTTGTGCAGATAAAAATATTACGTGAGGTTAGAAACTGCAGAGCTTGAAAGTTTACGTTCGATTTAAATTATACACAAAAGACAATTACGAATTGTAGGAGGTGAAAATTGCAAAGCTAACAAATTACATGAGATTAATACTTGCCACACTTTACCAACGATTCAAACAAAGAATTTATATTATGTTCAATTATGCCACACTTTATCAACCATTCAGATAAAGAATTTATATGAGGTCACATTACGCCATGATCCAAGTGACTGGTTACTTAAAACCATTTGTTCTGAGAACTTATATCGTAAACTGCTTACCCCAAACAAAACACATAATAAATAAACACAAAAATATCCAGACAGCTTGCAAGGAAAAAGCGTCTCGGTGATGTAATCTTTAACGTTGCGAGGAAATGCCTCGATGATGTAATGATGATAACGACGATAATAACGATGGTAACTGTCTAAGCAGGAGAGAAATCTTTAATCCCCCCGTCAGTTCACGATATTATGAATTTTGTTAATTTAACTGCCGTTAATGAACTATTAGCGATCTTGTGTGAGAAATTAAGTAATTAAGAAGTGTTATAATGTAACACTTAAGTATATGCATCCAGAAACCTTATATTTACATAATTAGACAAACAAAATCAAACGAGTCCTGTGTCAGTGAATTTCATCAAATCTTCTAGTAAGTGACATTGTGTTAGAACCAGTTAACGATTAAAATCCTAACATGAATTGTGAATTCACAAAGAATGAATTATTTTACACGTGTCGGCGTCGGTCGAAAAATTGCATTTTACCGATTAAAAAGCCGCAAGAATTAGCTGCGCGTGTTGGGGAAAATTGTGGCGTCATCGCTACGATTAATTGTCGTTAAACAAAGGCTTCCTCCTTTTTAATAACTACCAAACCAACTAAACCAATCAAGCTACCTTACCACGTGGTTGCACTCATACAAACACACCTAGACTGACGCTTTCACCATGGTTTCACCATGCCACCATCTTGTCTACCAACTGCTCTCTAACTAAAATCCCCTAGCGAGCTACCAACTACCAGAAAAAGAACTAAACGTGCACAAGGCCTATGTTTAACAATTTTTTTATTGATTTTTTCTCAAATTCAAATTATTCAAATGTGATTTCGCGCCACTGTTAATTTATTTCGGCTCAAACATTTGATTCAAATTCGGTTACCACATTATTTAGAAGGAATTGTACCGCCTGACATGTAGACGAACGGCAGCATCGAAATTTCCATCAAACTTTCCCAAAGTTATATAAAGCATATGGGTTTTTTCGAAATTCGAAAGCACTGTTAGCAAAAGTTGAAAATAATTTACTGTTAGAATTAATTTGTCATAATTTTGGCGCAGTCATTGCCATCTACACGTTATTTATTATTTATAAAAAAATTTAAGATGAAGTGGTTTGTGGAAAGTAAAATGTGTTGCCTAACTTGCCTATTCGGACACAGCATAGATATCAATTGTTATCTCTACTGTGATTCGGATTTATCCAGGCGTGCACAGATAAAATAATCAGCCTGTATTTCAAAAAAACACCCTGTATAAAGAACTTTAGATCATTTTTTCAATCAGTTTTAAGAAGTACCTATTTATAATGGCTGGTCAAAATCCATGGATAGACCGATAATTTATAAAAATATTTTTAATATCTTTGATTAAACTTAAACTTATAAATGTCAATCTCAACAAAACGAAGATGTTAGAATTAGAATGGAAAGCCACGATTCAAATGATTTAATGTTGGAAGAGTGAATTTAAAATGAATTTTTTGTGGTTATGGATGGAATCATTTTTCGTAGTGTTCGCCCCTTCACTCGAGGCAACTCCTCATTCATGAGTCGGAAAACAATCACAACCTTATTCGAAATTTAATTTGAGAAACAGTTTGAATTTTGACGTGCAAGATTTAATCAAAGAAATGAAAAATATTTTCGTAGCTTACTCTAATCGGAAAACTTTTTGATCAGCCTTGATAACACTAACGGGTAGGTAGTTTATTCGCAAAATCCTAATCAAATTATTATTTCAACGTATTTATCATGCTTGAAGTAGATCAGATGTTATTTTCTGAACATTATTAACTTTAAGTATACCTAGTGTACTTTACAGGTGGCTTGATAAAGAACCAATTAAATTGTTTAAAAAGTATCTTTGTAGCAACCATAAAATGTTTCTTATTTATATCTGTTCCAGGTTGAACGTTACACGTGTCTTGTGTCATGCTATTACCGGCAATTTTATAGAGTATTTTTATGTTGTCAGCAGTGCACTGGACCTTCAGAAGTAAATCATAGTAAGCGAGCGTGCACCCTAGTTCTTGCTGACATTTTTATGGACTTGTATATGAGAAAATTGATGACAACACTCCCTGTACGAGCATAGAATTTTGGACCCAATTTATATAGATAGTTCACAACTAGTTCTTACGTTGCAATAAAAACTCACAGAACACTTAAATTCGACGAACTAAAGTAACACCCTCACGACCCGACGCTCTAAGAACTTACTTAATTCAATTTTTGACACATGGCGGGGGTAAGTATAAATAATTACTGCTTAATTGTCTGATAAGAAAATTTATTTTCTGGTTATTCAACAGACAGTTGAGATTAGTATTGAACATGAGATGTTAAAAAATAACCAACCTAATAAAATAGGGAATATAAAACAATGGCAGCCAACAACTTACACAATGAAACTGGATAAACAGAAACCTAATCAAGTACGAAATATTAAATACAACAAAATATGCAATATTTTCTTATTTATGGTTGTTTATTTATAAAATTCACAGTCACAAATTCCTGTGCACGATTAGTGTGTACACAGGAACAACACGTCAACCTCAATTGTCTTAATCCAGAACAGTTATTTCCTCTTTGATAAAGAATTCTACGATTTCCTCTTCTACGTTTTGCGGATCAGCGTCTAATTCGTCAGTATCGATATCTAGAAAAAAAGCGAAACGTGAATACATCAATGACTGTATAGGATTTTCTCTAAGGCTATTTTGTACAATATACAAACCAATGACACTAAAAGATTTTGATCATATTTATGTGTCCCAGATAAAATTCACCAAAGAACCTAGCGAATTTTTATTTTTCGTGTTACACGTTTTAAGGCAGCAACTTTCATAAGAAGCTGCTCTTCAAAATAAAACATGTTTTGATTTACCCTGAGCGTATAACTAACATACTATTTGTTTTAGCATGACAGCAAAAAATCAGGGTTAATAATGGGTCGTCATATGTACTTACTGTTTCTAAGTTCAAGCCTCCTTTGTTTATTTTCGTTATATTCCTTAATTCTTTTACTCCTGTACTCGTTGAACTCCTTCATCAACGCGGCACGTTTCTCGATAAGTTCCTTTGAAGCTTTGGACTGCCTCATCCTATCCTTGCTTTCAAACTGTGGGTAATACTTCTTCAGGTTCTTTTTGATCTCCTTTTGTTTCTCGTCCGACAAAAGAGTAGGTAGGCGGGGTCGCCACAACAACTGAGCAAATTTTTCCAAGTTAACCCGTTTGAGAATTTTACCTTGGAATGACCAAATCCAGTAACCTACAAAACACAGTCAACTACGATACTCCAACGCAAAACGTTCCATTTACCAGTATCCACTTTGGTCTTCCAATAGGAGACAGCAGTTGTAACATACCGCCCTGTTGGATCCCATTCCACGTCAGACATTTGGAAATGGTCAGTAGTATTCATCACCAAAAATTCGTGCGTATCGACAAATTCCAACGACCCTCCACCATTAGATCCCAGTCCCGCCAACACGATAAACTGCCCACCGGGCGACCAGAACAGATGATTACAAGCCCGCTTTTCGAACTTCTTGAGAAGAATAGGAGCCTGCCCTACTCTTACTTCATAGAAACTAACGTTAATGTTTGGCGACTCTCCGTGGATCACTGCAAACTTCGACCCTACGGGTTCCCAAGCGAAAGCCTGTATGGGTTCTTTACTCTCCACGCTATCTACAGGAATCTGTTTCTCCCTCATGTGGAAGATTTCGAAATTACAATACATCCCGGAATATTTCGTTTCGTTTTTCTCTTTCCTTACTTTCGAGTACCGATCGACCTTTACGCATAAGTAGTCGCCCGACTTCTGCCAGTGAATCTTACAATCGGCTACGTTAAACAAGTTCTTCTTTCTGATTTCGTTCCGATTTGGAATTTCGAGAAGGGTGACGCTTGCGGGGACGTCTTTGTCTTCGGCTACCCAGTAAGCGACGACGTTATCGGTGGGGGACCAATTGAAATCTCGAATTCCGCTAATTTTGATGGATTTCTTTTCCAACAAACCGAAAGATGGTGTTTCGTAGATGGAGAGAACGTCGTTGCCAACGCGACCGAAGTATTTGTCGTCGTGAGACCAGCGGAAGATGGGCCACGAAGACGGGCCCTCGGGATTAAAAGAGCGTTTTTCCTGACCGGTCCTGAAAAAAAATCGGTTTGTTCATACATACAGGTACTTCATTTAAAAATTTTTTGTAACATTACTGACAATAAATGTTTTTTTTTAATTTGTCTGGAACCAACTTGGATCTAAACCTTATTTTTTTTTAAACTTGTTTCTCTGTTGTTATTAGTTAACGTCGAAATAAACAAATTTCATGTTTCTGTGCAATAACCGAATACATATTTTAAATAAAATTAAATAAGTATATTAAGTAAATCGAGTTGTATAGACACGAATCACTGCTTCAGGATTTATTATGTAGATTTAGCGAGACTTGGGCGATCCTGGAGTAATTGAATTACGAGAAGTGCTGACGGTCTTCTTCGCTTCAGAAAATATTTCAATATTCAAGAACGATGCCACTACAGACAGCGGTTTCGGAATAAAAAAAAATTAATACGTATATTAATTTCAATGGTTAATTTCATTTTGATGTGTTACTTTTATTAGAAACCCTGAAGATGGCAATGTTCTCCGAAATTGGTTGGTTGTAATAAAGAAAATAAATCAAATCATCACTTCCCGCAATTTATCATGTACAATTTTTATTCTCAAAGTACCTGTTACTTTGTACGACTCCCAACACTATTATTATTACTGACAAAAGAATTGTTAAACTAGTTGAAGATGTATGTTATGAATATCGAGTAGACGGTAAGACGCTAATCAAAATTTATCTGATAATCCCCACCCACAATGTAATGACGTCACCTTAAAATTTTACTTAATAAATGCCATTTCAATTCTATAAAAAAAATATACTTCTGTATTTGTGATTTATGGATTCGCCTTGTTTTCTTTATTTATTTTTTTATTATTATTAGTACGTAGCTACGCAAGCCTGGCTTATAGACCTATGGGGTGACGCTCTTCTGTGCAGATGAAAAATCGGGGGTTTAATCCCCGGCGACGGTTCCAATGTTTTTTATTGATCAAATCAAAATTGGTACACTGCACGTGTTGGAATTGACATACGTGTTTTTTGTTATTGAAATGTCGATCGAAACATGTTCGAATGGGAAAACTGAGCTTGATCAAATACAAACAAGTCAATAATGTCACATCATTCGTAATGAAAGGTAGTGGCGGCGTATGGATGATTGAAGTATGAATGTATAATGTATAACAGCCGTTTAACGAATTGCTAATTTCACCTGCTTCTTCTTTGTTTGTCTATCGTCTCTTAGCGAATTTAATAAACAAATATCCGTAAAAGTACCGGATAGAATTGTTGGGAAACTCTAGATTTATTTCGAAAATACCATGTAAAGAGATGATACAATGATAAGCACAATATGCCTTGTTCATCCCCACTAGAAATGTCGTGACGTCATTTCGAATTTTTCCTACATAACAGCTACATATATTTATTAGTCTTGGGTATGTGTTCTTGGAAAAAATAAATAAAAATCATACAACGCTGACAAGTTTTTAAAAATAAATTTCAAAATTACTAATTGATGTAATAGGTTCCATCGGACGAGTAGTTACTTTCATGTTTTCTCGACATTTCATGACCCCTAGAGTATGAAAAAGCAGCTAATTTGTAGATGCATGTATGTTGGGAATACCATGTAGATAGTAGAACAGTAACAAAAATTTGTCTAATAATCACCAACAAATAGATGACGACATCTCAAAATTTTGTTTAGAACGCATGCTTTATAAATTTTATAAAATAACATGCTCCTGTACTTGTAGTTTATGAATTTGCCTTGATTTTGTTTGTTATTATTATCATTTTTATAACTCAACATTTCCCGTAGTAAAGTTGGTCCTTAAATACATAATACCAGCACGTTACCTTTTTCTCCTTATGCTGCGACTGGTACTTTACAAGTCCATACGTATCTTTCTTTAAATTATAAGTTATTTTAATTTTATAATTTTTCGAAGCTTAATTTGTTTGTTTGCATTAAAAAAAAATAGGCAAGTTATCAATCAAGCAAAAATAACCATCAGCCATCCCCGCTTCTTGTTTTGAGTTTATGGTTTCTTGGAATAATGCGTTTGTATCAATGCAACAACGAGAATTCGATAGTAGATGAGCCGTTAATAATCCACTGTTTTCTTTGTTATAACAATGTGTATGTGTTCTGAGTATTACCTGATTTAAAATTGATATTATGCAGAATAACTCAAAAAATTAAGGAATGAGGTAACTTACTTTATTAAGCCAAGAATTGCTCACCCGATTTTCCAGAAAATTTGAGAACATAGTACTGGTATTGTTGGTTTACTTTTGTATTTAATTAGATTTAATATCCTATTGTATATAGATCATTTGTTCATTCAAATTTTTAAATTACTCTACATAGTCTGACCACGGTGCTTTTCGCTGCATTGTAAAATATTTGTCATGTTTTTTTTTTAAGTTTGTTCCACATTCGTTTCTCATTTTAAAAAAAGATTCAGTTAACTTTGTTTATATAAAATACTTTTGTATGTTTGCACTAGCAACACACTAGAGAATTATGTTAATTAACACACAGGAAAAAAGCTGCTTGTAAAATTCACGAACAGCTGAAATCAATGTGAACAAATATTTATCAGTAACTTCTTACACACATTGATAAAATTATTACCGAATCTTATAAACATACTTTTGAACACACGTAAGAAATTTAAATATTAATGTAACGATGCTGGGGTTGATGCTTCTAGTGTATACCATCTTATAGATTTCTTAACTGTCATTGAGTAAGAATCGAGTAGTAATGTAAAAAATTGTAGATATTTATACAAAACACCAAAATTATCTAAAAACCATTTTGTAATAAAAATATTTTTAAGACACTTTTCATATAGATTTTTTCTCACTTTTATGCGTAAAGTTAATGAGAGTGCATATGTATAGAAGCATATTATTATGCACACGTTAAATAGGATTTATTTAGTAAAAGTTGAAGATGCCGTCCTCAAATTTTTGATAGGGAAGCAGACAGTTTTCCATATAATAGTTATATTACAATTTCACAATAATCTATGCAGTTTCGAAGATTACTTGTCTACTAACAACAGACAGGCAGACGCAAACGGAGGGCATACTTTTTCATACTCTAGGAGCCACGAAACGTCTAAAAAGCAGGATAAAGTCATTCGTCAAAATACCCACGCTCAAGCTCGAAAGTAAAAAAATTGGTCTAAAAATTCTTGATTTCATCAATAAAATAAATTGACTCAGACATTAATTTTTTTCAGACACCCCGAATAAGCAAATCTAATAAAAAATCTAAATAAAATTTTAATGCAGCGACAAATCACAAGTATAGACTCATCTAGTGTACCTATTTAATATATAAATATATATTAATATATTATATAGGTATACGAGACTCATCATACTTTACACTTTAAGACAGGATTTTTTGACCAAAATTTTGTGGTGGCGTCATCAGTTTTTTAGGGGGGATGAGCATATACATTTTGATAAAAAATTTACCATGCTTATGATAAGTTTGAAACATCTCCAAAATTTCAAACCATTCGGTTTTATAGTTCCTGATTAAATCAATTAAATAAATTCACGCATTCATTGATTTTTTTGTCACCCTGTATATGCAAATCCAAAAAATATCAATGGAATGATAAATCACAAGTACAGACTCATCACATTTTCTACATTTTATGTAGGATTTATTCGGCAAAATTTTGAGCCGACGTCATCAATTTTTTGGAGCGGATAAGTAAATGTATTTTGATTAAAAATTAATCATGCTGATTGTAAGTAAGCAGAGAAAAATGTTGTGCCTCGGTGGGATTCGAACCCACGTCTCTTTGCTTTCCGGGCAAGTATGCTAACCGCTACACCACAAGGACACTTATCTTTACTCTGCTTACCGACGTGTCATTGTGCCGCCACACTGATCATAACTTTAAAACATCTCCAAGATTTCAAAGCATTCGGTTTTTTAGTTCCTGATTAAATCAATAAAAAGCATTCACGCATTCATTAATTTTTTTGAGTCACCCTGTATGTGCAAATCCAAAAAATATCAATCGAATGATAAATCACAAGCACAGACTCATCATATTTTGTACATTTTGGGTAGGATTTACTCAGGAACATTTTGCGGTAACGTCATCAATTTTTTAGTGGAGATGAGCAAATACATTTTGATCCCAATTTATCATGCTTATGATAACTTTAAAACGTCTCCAAGATTTCAAAACATTTGGTTTTGTAGTTTCTGATTTAATCAATAAAATACATTGACGCATTCATTAATTTTTTGAGTCACCCTGTATATGCAAATCCAAAAAATATGAATGGAATGATAAATTACAAGTACAAACTCATCATGTTTTGTACATTTTAGATAGGATTTGTTCGGCAAACTTTTGAGCTGACGTCATCAATTTTTTGGAGGGGATAAGTAAATATTGTGATTTAAATTTTATCATGCTTATCATAACTGTAAACCATCTGCAAGATTTCAAAGCATTCAGTTTTGTAGATTCCAAATTAAATGTCAAAATGTTGTTTCCTAATTTTGATTCTTTTTCCAAAAATCTGAACGTTTTAGATAAAATCTCAATTCGGAGTCATAAACTACATGTGTAAGACTATGTTATTTGATACAATTACTATGTACAATTTTGAAGTGACGTCATCACATTAGTAGTGGGGATGATTAGACAAATTTTGGTTAGCGTTTTACCATCTATATGATATACCTAATATAAATACAAAATTTGACAACAATCGGCCCAGTACTTTCGGAGATTATCTGTTTAATAAAAATCCGGGACGGCAGACAGACGGACAAACGGACAGACGGGAGACCTATTTCTTCGTTCCCTAGGGGTCATGATAGGTCGAGAAAATGCAAAAGTAGAGAGTCGGCCGACGGACTCGATTACAATACTTCCTTTGCTTACGCTCGGGAAGTAATTATTATAATAGACATTTAGCGAAACCACGTTCCGTAGAACGTACAGCACGCAAAACGTAGAAAAAGCTGTTATATCTATGGAAACATAGAAAATGCAGTGTCCCTATTGGCGATTGTGTACGTTAACGTAAAATACGTTGTACGGAATGTAATTTCGCCAATTGTCTACTAAAAAATATAACACATACATACTTTGCAAAATAAAACAAATTAACGAGAGTTCCGTTTTCACTAAGAGTCCAACTGATTTCTGCCAAAAATTACGTTATTCACGAAATTATTTAAAATTTAAATAAATTTTGGGATTTACGTTCGAAATAGTAATTTTAAAGCAGTCCATTATTGTTACGAATTTTAGCAGTTATTACAACGTTTCAAATTTTACCTGATATCCCAAATAATGATTCCCTTTTGTGATGGATGGTTTGGATCTCCCTGAGGCGAATATGTAATCAAGTATTTCTCACACGGCGAAAAATCAATAAACTGTGCATTGGCATGAGCATATCTCTTATACTGTGTAAATTTTTGTCCAACCCAAAGAGCTATACCTTGCTTATGGAAAGTTGCCAAGTACGTACCAAGGGGTGACCACCTGATATATGCATGTGTCCATGCCTGCAACACAAAACTTTAATTACCTAACCCTTTGCTGAAAATCTGGTCATACATACATGTCTCTCCTCCACTAAACTTGGATCGGGTTGGGTATTCTGCCAAATCTGTACAGACTGACCTTGCCCCAGGACCACTGCAAACTGATCATAAGCATCTGGTTCCAATAAATAGTGGTGCAGATCGCCTTGACCCTCATACGGCAGCGGCTCTGGAGGCTCCCAGTCCTCAGGAATAGACTCATATTTGTTAAAGTCCGTAAATAAATTAACTTGGAAGGTGTGTTGCTTGTCAAGTTTGAAATTATTCGTAAGTTTTACAGCTTCCGCGGCGTTCACTGGCGAAGAATATTCCAAAAAGATGTAGCCTTTCGTGTGTCCGCTTTCGCTTACAGGGTAATACTCATTGACTATGGTTCCAAACTTCACGAATATTTTATTAATGACAGACTTCAATTTTTCTATACGGTCTGGACCAACTTGTGGGACACCGTCAACAACAATCACACTCTCCACACCATCCGTTTCCTTCGGTTTTTGTTTTAAAATGTCACCGAGGAGTTCTAAAATAAAATGAACATTATCATAACCTCACTTTTCCAGAGGGCATATGTTAACGTTGTAAATCATGTAATCGTTTAATGATAATGCCAGATTAAGTACAAATGATCACAAGTTACAAAAAATGGGGTGCTCGGGAACATTCTGGGCGTATTTTTTTGTTAAATTGATCGTAAAGTTGGTGGAACAGCATGGTTAAGGTGTTACATTTGGACACGAATTTTAGTTAAATACCTTCTTCTGGGATGTTGTCGACGAATCCCTCAGGATCACTAAAGTTGGGATCATCATCATTTGACGATAAATCACTTTCGTTCTTCGTATTATTTCCATTTAAACTATTTTTGTCGTCCACTTTCTTTTTCGCCATTTTGACACGCGTGAACACCGGTCGGTAAAGAAGGGCACGGAGTAGTGATGTGAGAATACGTATTAAAATATTCGTTTATTCCGAATACAGAAATATTCGGGTGAAGCCGAATATGCCCGAAAGAAACGGATTCGGAATAAATGTTACGCGAGAGTGGTACACGGAACACGGACAACTGTCGTTCGGAATCGGAAAGAGAATACGGAATTACCGAGGGATGAAAATTTAGATAGATAATATTTTTATTAACAAGTACGTTGTTAATGTGATGAAAGTTCGGAAATATGAATTTTTTTAGTTTCAAATATATGAAAAATCAAATTGTTTCAAATTCTTCTCGTTTGCTGCGCTAACTCGAGCGATTTTTATAAAAAAATTATCGAAAATTTAAAATAATCTTGACATTTTACTCATCGGCTCAACGGTCCAACGCTAGGGGCTGGGGGGACTCCAGAAATGGCCCTTTGCGTTCAGTACTAAAGAAACGTAACCGTAAGCGAATTCTGAGTCGGTATCCGGACTCTGGGTACTCGGACCACTCGGTAAATCGGACGCTCACGTACGAATTCGGGACCGGATGATTATTACGAATATTGCATTCATCCGATTCCGTACAATCCGAATATCAGGATCATCCGAACATTTCCAACGCTAGCACGGAGATGTTGAGTTGATTGATTTAAATTTGGAATATGGCGTTATGGCGCTAGCTGTATCTAATTCTCAAAGATTCCACGCATGCGCATTAAAATTTAATAATGTATTTGATAAAAATTTACAGCGTTGTATATTAGGTTGCCTATTCCCTTAATAACTTTTTGGGGTGTTTATTGTTTTAAAAAGATTTGGTTCCTTTATAAAATTTAAATAACATTTACCAATGTAAATTTTGGAATTGACGTCATCGTCATGCCATTGTTAGTGGGGATGGTTAGCAAAATTTTGATTAGCGTTAGCATATACACAATATTCCAAAAACGCATATTGACAACAATCGGTCCCGTAATTTCGAAGATAATTTGTATAATAGAAATTGACATAGACGACAGAACAGACAGACGAAAACGGTGACCTATTTTTCCATACCCTTGGGACGAGAAAACATGAAAATAGCCAGTCATGCGTTGGACCCGATTATAGTACTTACTTAGGTTACGTTCATCAGTAACAAAGCTCTTCACTTTAAAATAAGAAATAAAGCAATTTCTATTTTGTGCAAAAAAAAATCTATCAGGCAATAATATGTTCTTAGCATAATAAGAAAACTTACGTCAAATAGATTAAAATGGAAATATTTATTTTTTACATAGTTAAATATTTAACATAATTTAAAAACTTCACAAAAAAAAAACAACCGTATTGCAAACAACCTATTCAAATTTCAAACATGACAGAAAGTTATTACGAAATATAGCAGCCGTTATTTTCCACACATTGTCTTAATTTGTTAGGCATGCTGTCAATCCAGTTTTGACATAAGGTCAAAAGGTCATAAGGTCCTCAGTCTCACCGCTTCCATGGAATCGTTGCAGTCTCTTACCACGTTTCCCATAAGTTTTCAATCAGATTTAAATCTGGAGATTGTGCCAGCCAGTTTAGACGTACAACTTCTCAATAATCTTGGAACTATTCTCGCACCATATGAGCGCTATGTATAGAACTGTTGTCCTCCATCGATGGTACAGTTTCTGGTTGTTCTTTTTTGGGATATAAAATCCGAACCACAGATAACATAATTTCGTAGGTATTCTCTTGAGGTCATGAGTAAAATTTTGGCAGTGACACCTGCACCATTTTCCCGGGATCACACCTCATCCACCCCTAGTATACTAGGGGTGGATGAGGTGCTATAGCCATCTGATCGACCCTCTACCACTCGGTCTGGAGGCTCTTACATTTTCTGGTAAAAATGGAGGGTTGTTAGGGCGCCAAATTTTTGTAACTGGTGTTTCTTGTCTAGTTGAAAATACTTTATCAGTAAAATACCGTCAACCAGTCTTTGTCTAAATTTTCTAAACAAACTTTCAGCCTTCTTGCGGCATGTGCAGCAGTTAATTCCGCTTTTTTAGCCGATGAATATTATTTTTATGCAACTTTTTGATTATGATATCCAAAATGAAGTCCTTTAATTTCTGTAGAGTTCGTAAAGAGCGGATCAGTTGCCATCTTCTAAAGGAGTCGTTCGTTAGTCGTAGTCTTCCAGATTTTGACTCATCTACGAACAAATTATCTATGAGGTTCTTCTGACCTCTGGCCAGCCATCTATTGACAGTCTTCTGCTTCAAAATTTAATCGTTTATGGCCTCCCGGAAAAACGATGACGTTATCGTACAATTCTGTTCTTTATCTACGACTCTTCAATAATATAGTTGTTATACGCGAAACCACAGGGATGTAATCATTATTCATTAATCATTGTTTTATGGATTTTACCCACTGGCGATGTTCTGTTGGTTGCCTATTTGTAGATATAAAATTAGGAATTATAACAATACAATTGTTGATTTCGGAAACAAAGAAATGTGAAAATAGTAACCAACTGCCAAACCAACGTAGTTTCTGATGCATAAAAATGCTTCAGATCCGAAATGTTGGTTGCTCATTTAGCACGAGTGAATGTTTACTTCCTACAAGAATCTCAAATTCCAAATGAATGTACTAAATGTGGCAAGAAGGGTATTTTACTTTGGACATGTCAGGTTAGGTTACGTCAAATAAGGTCAAATAAGTCAGGTGAGGTCAAGTCATATCTCGTCAGGTCAAGTTTGGTCAGGTCAGGTCAGGATAGATCAGGTCGTGGCTGGTCAGGTCAGGTCAAAACAAGTTTATTTAAGGGAAGCAAGACTCTTAATGGACCCTTCACTTGACCGCCCATTTCCGAAGATAAGAAAATATTTTCACAAACGAGATATCGATGACAATACCAAAAAAAATTAGATGAATCGTATATTTATAATATCATCAGTATGACACACAAAACCTCAAATTCCAATTTATTTAACATTATTTCAATGTAATGAGAAAGTTACGCTGAGAAGAAATTCAGTACAAGAAGTTTTTTTTAATAAACTGTGTTTGATTTTGACATAAAACATTTTGAATTTTGATGCGAGAAGATTTTCGACATTGTCTTCAGAGGACCCTGGTGTTCCAGGCCAGGTCTAAAACTCTCTTTGTGAAGATTGTTTACTTTCACTTTTATATTATACCTATATTCAAGAATTTTGAAATCGCCCCCCCCCCTCCCTCCACCTCCAGATCGTTCTCAGAAGTTAGTGTTCGCTCATAGTGGCGATTATTCACTCGAATGATTTACACACTCGCCTTCGACTCATGTGTAAACTTGATGTAAACTTCATCCTTAATAGCAATAATAGGCTACATTATTGAGATTTTACCCTAGGCATACATATTTTTGGGCAAAAAATAAAAATTTTATAACATTTTACAACTTTTTAACTTTGAGATTGCAAAACTAGTAAAAACATCTTGCAAACATTTTACGCTTGACAATCAGTTCTTTAGAAAAAACAACAGTATGCTTAATTAATTAACCTATCCTCTGCGCCGAGGAGACAAGATCAATCAATTTTTTTTATATATGTGCTTTACACAGATGTACGATATACATATTTAATATTGTCCGCATTTGTGCGGACCGCGTCCCCTTGGAATTTGTGCCTCTGCTCCGAAGGGGCTGCAGGGATTTTATATTTCAAGGGCGAAGGGAGTTCTATCAAAATAACCTTTGACCAATTTTTATTATTCCGTTCAAGTTTTTGGTCTAAATACATTAATTACCTGAAATTACTGCGAAATATTGTAACATATTTTAAAAAGAACTAATCTGGATCAAATTATTAATATATTGTTAAGAAAGAAGAAAACGAACGTTGAAAAAGCATAAAAAACAAATTAAATAACTGAGAACAGTTTTCGTTATTCGAAATGATACAACAGTTGTATTAATTTTTTACATTTCATTTCAAGACTTCGTCTTGTGTCATTTTCAAATTGTCAAAACTTTCTGTAATCAAACCAGAAAATTTTAGTTCGTATCCACCTTAGGTTACCTAAGTGCCTATGAGATTATGGAAACCCTCAGAGAGGGGTCGGAGAAATTTAATATCCCTCTCTGGTGGGTACCGCCAATACTTTTGCGTGCGATTGTTATAAATACATACCTACTATGCCACCAGGGTATAATACCTATATGCCAGATGTAGCCTAACATCTTATGCCACAACCTGACTACTTCCTGCCTTTGTAATATTACTTATTTTCTGGAATCTATTATATCTACTGTTAATAAGAGTAATTTCCATCAAAATGGAGAGCTTTACTTACAAAACCTTATTAAATCCGAAAGTAAAACACACAAATTCTGCCAGATTTGTTGCTTACTTTTTATAATTAGGGTCAGACCTCAGAAATTATATATACTTACAAATTATGCACACGCAAAAAAAAGAACATACAATTTTTGCAAAAATGGGTGTTACTATTATGTGCTGCAATTTTCTAAAATTAAAGAAGGTTATCCGTGGATTTGTTATTATCATTTAGTGGCGTTTTAACCTATAATTAAAAAATGCATTTTTATATCAATTTCCTACTGGTGTTTCCATTAGTTAACGGCCTGTTTTGTCTCCAGCTAGTGTAGTGGGTTGTATATCTTTGGTTGTGTAGCATACGAAATATTCAATTGCTTCACTTTGAATGTATATATGTGTTTTATTTTATAATTTTTAAACAAGAACGATTTATCATTTTCGTTATCTGTCTAAAATCACATAAGCAATTAGTCCAGAATATTTTAGGTGCACCTTGAGATTGTCGTGAAAAGAGTAAAACGAAAACTAAGATTTATTTATCTCTAGAAGAACTTCTGGAATGTGTTTGTCTTTTAAAAAGCATATTACATAAATTCCTCGTGAAAAATATACATCCTGAAACGTGTGCAGGGATCGGTTGTTGTACAGGCGAGGAAAATTATGGGTAAACAATTTTTCTCATTTTTACCCATGCGTTTAACACACTGAA